TGCTCTGTAGATTACTGATTGTACACTCCAGCCAGATTTGCACTCAGGCATGCTTGGAGCTGAAAGTCTCTGGGAAAATTTGTTCCCCTTTCCTCAAGGGAATTAAACCAATTTGCTTTAGTTCTGCCTGGCTGCATTTTCTGCATAAAGTCAAACCAGTGGAGAAAGTCTTAAATTTCAGCTGCAGTCTGCAATTCATTGCCATTCACTCCTGCCTTGCAGCCTCTTTATTTTTCCAGACCTCTAATCAGATTGTGGAGAAGAGCCTCAGACTGCTCAGAAAGATTTTACTCATAATGGTTTTAACATCTACAATAAGCTTGTTCCCAAATCACAGAAAGGATGAACTAGACTGTGTTAATTGCTATAGTTCCACTAAACTCCCTCTTGAGGAATTCTCTCTGGACTTGAAAGAGGCTTACACCAGGTTCCTGACTCCATCCTCTTGCTGGAACACTGTTGTCTGCCTTGTAGCAAAATGCACTGAATTAGCCTTTCCTTTTGTTCATGTCTTACAACATCTAATTGAATCTGTTCTGAATTTCTGATTACAGTTGTCTGATCTCTGCCCTAATTTAATCTTACACCACAGTTGTTTTCCTGCCCATCCGTCCCTCCACCTGTGAGGTATTAAACACTTTAAATGGAAGTAAATTTGAGAATAAAAGGTAATAAGTTCAGCTGTGTAGCAGTGGATTTAAAGATCTTGGATCAGTGTGCGTCAGGCTCAGGGCAGAGAGGTGAGTGAAGTCTCCCTTGGCAGGAACAGGCTGTGCAAACAGCTCAGAACTCCCCACCAAAGGCAGAGCAGAAGGAGGCAAAAATCAGCCATGTGTGCCTGGTAGAGCAGGAGGGCTCGGAGGACTCGCAGTGTGCAATGCTCTCACTGCATTTTTGTGCCTTAATTATTTATGTTTTCAAGATTATTCCAGAGTTTAGGTGGAACTGAAGGATTTCTGCTTTGAGCTCCCAAAATGAGGATGTTGAGAAGTGTAACTTGACACTAACAGACCAAACTCACTCCGAGCAAAGCACTTGGGTTTGTAGTCACTACCTGTTGTTTTTCTCTGCTCTACCTTGCTGGGTCAACAACTGAGCATGGAAGGGGAGAGGTGCTTGATGGTATGGTTGGACTCCATCTGTGCTTTCCCAAAGCCAGGCACTGCCTTCTGTCCATGTTCTTGCTGGAATGCCACTGGCATTAGCCCTGCAAAGCAAAGGGCCCAACCTGGGGACGCGTTACCTGCACTGATGCAGGGAAGAGCCAGTTTGGTGAGCTGCAGACAGAACCTGTACAAATCCAAACTGGAAATAGCCAGGCAGGGTGGAAATAGTTCCTGGCAATGCAGTCGCTTCTGTTGATTTATTTTCAGATGACCGCCTAGTTGCTGTGGGCAAAGATGTTTTAGCTGACAGTGGCTCATTGAATGCTTCCATTTTTTCCTGTCCTTTCAGTGCAGTTGGTGCCTGGATGTTTGGGTGAGAAGCAGCTGTTGAGCCTGGCAGTGATCCAGTGCTGAAAGAGCCAAAGCTTCTGCAGGCAGGGTGTGTGTGAGGGGTGTGATCACAGAACCATGGAATGGTTTGGGTTGGAAGAGACTGTGAAGATCATCTACTTCCAGCTCCCTTGCCCTGAACAGGGACACTTCCACTAGCCCAAGTGCTCCAAGCTCCATCCAGTCTCTTGGGAAGGAGCAGCACCTCCAGAGAGGACCTGAGAACTTTGCAAATGACTGGGTATGTTCAGTGAGTGCTCCAGCTCTGCAGTCTGTGATTGAAGATCTTTCAAAAACGTGTTGAATGTTAGAGTGAGCTCAGAGAGGAGCAAAACACTCAGGTCTGGAAGGTGAGACGAGGACATTTCACTCCTTAGAAATGTACAGCATGAACTCATACTCTGCAGTGAAGTTTCGAGTGCAGACGTGCCCTGAGAATCATCCAGGCTGGAATGAGATGCAGCTTTGGATCAGCAAGGGAAACTATAGGCTGGAGCAGCAAAGTGTGCACAAACTTGGCCTTGGGATGGGATGGTTGGTGTTCACTGTGTTGGGATTCAGCCACAATTAGATGCACTTGCTGCAGGAGTTGAGGGGAAGATCCATTCTGGTTCAGGATATCCTTATGAGACACTCCTCACACAGGAGTGTACAGGAACCAGAAGAGCCACAGCATTCTGGAAGGATCAGGAGTGAGATGGAGGGAATCTGCTGTTGGGTGAGGATAAGTGGTCTCTCACTTCATTTTGGCAGGAAGGTGTTTGCTTTTGCCACTGTTCTGTGCTCTTAGTTGCATGTCTGAGCTGCTGCTGTGTCTGCTGGTTCCTGTGTTGCACTGACACCAGGCACAGAGGAGGTTTTTTCGGGTGGCTGCAACTTCACACATGTTTGCAGGGCAAATATCAACCAGTTGTCTTTCCCCACCTGCCATGGGCTGGGAGCACAAGCATGTACCTGCCTTATTGTGAAATCATAGGTTGAAGAACATCTTTGGAACATATTTGGGTGTAATTTAGAAAATGAACCACCTTAATAGCTGAAAGACCTGTAATTTGCACAGTTCCTGCAAGCACAGGATTTAGCAGGAGTCTGTGTCCCAGATTCCATAAGCAATGACCACAGAGGGCTCTATTTCCATCCCAGGGGAGCTTCTGTACGGTGTGGAATAAGGTGACTCATTCAGCAGCTGCTTTGGGAGGCAGAATCGGTCTCCACACAGTCATTACTTTAACTGTGAGATGTCATCACACTTGAGATCACTGTTGTGCCTGTGTGTTCTGTACCCAGGAGCCACAGAGAGGGCTGTTATCCTGCCTGCACTGCAGGAATGGGCTATACCTCAGGAAAAGCTGAACCATTACTGTGTCCCAGCCATGACCTGTGGCTCACCCAGAGGGAAGGGCAGCTGGTGTCCCACCTCAGTGAGGGAATGCACCTTCACTTCTGCTGGTACTGTCAAGGAACAGACAGGCAGTGTCCACTGCTGGAGCTGGGCACCACTGCCTGATTATCCCTGGGAATCACTCAGGCTGAGCACAGGAGGATTATTTCTGATGGGCCTACAGCCAGAAGTCAGTTCCTTGTGGCCCTCGAAGGACAGAGAGAGTTGTTTCTAGAACTGGGGGCTCTTGCTTTTGATTTTGCTCAGTGTTGACTGCAGCTCTGCAGGGTAACTCTGTGCCTGGAGGTGAGGTTCTGTCAGCACTCACCCCAGGGGACTAATCTGAACTCACTGCAGCTCTGGTTGTTAAGAGGCCTGTGGTGGGATCTCTCCCCATTTCCCTTTGTGCTGGTAGAGCCTCTGGCACCAGGGATGAACAGGTCTTAACAGTCTTCCCAATACTCTTCCCGGGCTGATAAGAGCCACAGCAACTGCTCTGCATGTCACACTGCACGTAGGAAATGCAGCCAGGAATGATGGCTTCGATGAAAGACTCCAGCCTCAGAGCAGCAGTGGGTTTTGCTTCCCTTTCTGAGGCAGCGAATGCTTGAACAAACCTGCAAAGAAGTGAAGTGGCAAGCTCTTCACTTTAGAGAGCTAATGGGGAGTGGGTTGTTGGCTAATCCTGCCCTTTCCTTCCCTTGCAGCTTGTCACTGGTCCTGCTCCTCGTGCTGGGGAGCTGCTGAGAGCCACTGCCTGTCCTGCAGGGACCCAGCACTCGTGCTGCAGGCAGGGCTGTGCCTGGCCAGCTGCAGACAGGGCTTTTACCCCAAGGACGGAATCTGCACTGGTAAATACCTGTCTGAGAAATGCCCTGCAAGAAAAGGAATCAATATTTCATTTGGCTGTGCAGCAGCTGTGATTTGGTTCATGTCTGAGGAACCAACTGCACCTTGTGCATAAACACCAACGGAGCAAAGATGCTGTTTGCTTGTAAGGTTATTCATCCATTTGAGCTAATCAGATGCTGAAAGGTCTAAGGGATTTTCCCTTGCTGAACAGCTTGAAAGCCTCACTGAGCTGTTTCTGAGGGCCTGACAAATCCATTTGTCTGTGGAAAGAAAAATAGCCTTTGCCAGCAGGTTTCTGTAAATTTAATTATGATTCAGCATCACAGTAACTAATACCTGCACAGCACATGTGCCTTGGGAGCTGGGAAGGTTTCCTGGGAAAAAGGGGAAGGGATGGCCGGAGGGAATTAAAAGACCTGAGTCAAACAGATCATGAAGGGGGAAAAAATCTCACATAAAGGATCTTGAATTTGCCACAAACATTCCAGTCTGAGTTTTTGCTTTGAAGGATTTATCCAGGATGGCCAGGCAGGGGTTGTGGTCTTCACAGGTGTGTCTGAGCCACAGGGAGAGCTTAAAACCTGGAGCATGTTGGCAAAACCTGCCTTTTTTCAGCTGCTTCTGGATCACCAGATTCCCCTTCAGTTTGGTTGATGCCTATACTAGTCAGTTTTACTCACTTAAAACTATGTTTCAAGCGTGCAGGCTTGAAATCTTCTATCTGGAGTTGAAAATCATTTCAGCTCAAAAGGAAATCTAACTTAGATTTGATTTTTATTGCTGGTGGTTTCTCAAACCCCCGTAGCTGTTCCTCACAACCTCCAGGATTCACACCTTTCATTTCCTGCCAAAACCAGCACTTTGGTCCCCAGCTGGAGAGCTGTGAGCTGGTTTGACTGGTGAAAAGAGACAGAAATGGGTTAAATGAAATGCTTGGCCCTGGTAAATACCCAGCAGCAGCAGTGCCCCTTCCTTAGGAGGAGCTCCATAGTGCTCCTAGACAACAGGTCAGTTCAGAGCCGACTGCCTGGGAGAGTAGAGACTGCAGGAGTTGATAAGAACATTATCATGCTGGATTTTAGCTGCATTTTCACACTTAAAACTTTGACTTTTGAAAGTCAGCTTTTCCCCCATCCTTCCTGAACAGCCTGAACTGCTGCTCATTGTGCACTGACATGTAGAGATGTCTAGGATGGTTTCCCTGCATGGAGGGAGGTTGGTGGCTCTGTTGTTCTCCCCTTACCGAGTGCCTGTCGTTAATGATCTGTCCTCCTTGGCAGCCTGTGACCAGTCCTGTGAAACATGCTCTCCAGAGCCAGCCAGGTGTGTGACCTGTGCCTCAGGTAAGCTGTTACATGATGGGAAGTGCATGTCAGAGTGCCCAGATGGATATTTCCCGAGCAGCAGTGGACGATGCAGAGGTAAGAGACGTATTTGCACGACCTTCTCTCAGGCTCTCATTGCAGCTCCTACGTGTTCACCTGTGGGGAGGGAATGTTAGGACCACAGAAGTGCTAGTGGGGACAGGGAATTTGCTGGTTTTCTGTTTGGTTCAGTTGTGATGGATTGTTGTCTTTGCCTCGTGAAGCACATTAAGACACGCTGAGATACTCAGAACACTGTGTGAGTGAGAGTTACTGCTGTTAGCAATGATTAATACATGTGCACTTCTGCTCTCATTAGTTCACCTAGCTGAGAATCATTCCAGCTGGGAGTTTCCTACAGCTGGAGGAGGCTGTAGTCAGCACCAGCACTCTCAAGGAGAAGAAATGTTATGTTTCAGTTCTGTGTTCTCTTTCTTTCTCAGCTTGTCACGCTTCGTGCTCCACATGTCAGGGACCTCTGGCTACTCACTGCACCTCCTGTTCCTTTCCTCTGGCACTGCACCAGGGCCAGTGCCTGCAGAGCTGTGGAGAAGGATTTTACCAGGATCACAACATCTGCAAGGGTAAGCTGTGCACTTGGAATATGTTCCCAAGCTGCTGTAAACCAGATCGTGTTGATCCTTTATCCTACGCTGAACCAGTCAGTGAGTAGTTCCTGCCTTTCCCTGCTGGTTGTTTTCCACTTGGAGAAAAAGGGAATTTTCCCACGTGTTTTCTGCCTTCACACCCTCAGCATTCAGTGATCTCAAGGACTGTTTTTCCTTCTCTATGCTGTTGGGATAAATGTACACTGCTTCCAAGTTTCTCTCGAGTTAAGTGCTGGGTGAAGTTCCACACACACCTGGTAGATTTGCCAAGACTGAGGTCACTTTTGCAGCAGAGGGAAACCTGGGAGTTTGGACTGTCACTCCCTGCTCTCTGTCCTAGTGAGGCTGTTCTCCCTGTTGCAGTCCCAGAAATGAAGGGAGCATTGGCTGTCTGTGGCACAGTGCTGCACTTCTTACTTGCTCATCAGCTTTACCCAAGAGAAGAGCTGTTATTTGCGAGCGAGGGGAAACATATCAAATCATGGCTCTAAAATCCCTGTTCCATCCCAGCAAGCAGTACCAGATGCCCGTGTTGCTGGGCCTTTCTCTGCAGAAGGTGCTCTGGGGCTGCAGCTCTGATGGCTCTCTCCTGTGCCCAGGTTGCCACCCGTCGTGCCGTGCATGCTCTGGCCCCGGGGCCATGCAGTGCCTGCAGTGCAGCTCTCCTGAGGATGTCCTGCAGCCTCGGCCGCCCAGGGAAGGAGCTCTGCACGGCCTCTGCCTCCCTCACTGCCAAGCCCAGTTCTATGTGGACAGCACAGGAGTGTGCAGAGGTGAGTGGAGGTGGGAAGAGCCGTTCACAGCTCTCAGCGCAGGGTTTTCGGTGCTCGGGGTGAGCTCCTGTGTTTGGCTCGTGACTGTCACGACTACTGAAACTCTATAACTTCAAAATGGCACATACATGAGAGGGAAAATACACTCTACGTACACTTTGTGACTGAAGGATTCAGGTATTTTGCCTTTAAATACCTGTTCCAGCCTGCTCAGCTCAGCTTAGCTCCCTTTTCATTGAAGTGCAATGTGTGATTTTCAGCACTGACTCGTTTTGAAGCAGGATCAATCCTTAAATCCTTTTCAAAAGAGACTCTGCTGTCTCCTCCTTAGCCCTTGGAGCAGGTCAAGACATCCCACAGCAGCCTTTTCTTTTGAGGAGGCTCTTCTGCTACATGCCCTGCAGCATATGTGCCATGGCTGCTCCCAAAATACCAAGCAGGAAGCATTTCCATGAAGGTTAGAGCTTGTAATGTGATGTGCACTGGGGATATGTGTGGTTTCCAGCCAGCCATAGAGACAGTGACTGCAGCAGCAGTAGTAACAGTAGTAACAACATTACTGATGGCTGTTTCTTCCTGTTAAAAAGCCCAATATTTTCTGGAAGTTGACATAATTTAAAATCCATTTATTTTGATTTTGTCTCTTCATCTCAGCTCAGTGAAAAGAACCTGTAAAAGCTAATTTTTTTTTTCCTTAGAGGATCTTAAAAAGGAAGAAGTGGCATTTTCTCAGGTGGAGCAATTCTGCCTTTACCAGTGGCCTACACAGACCACCAGGTATCCTGTGCTTTGCACTGGTCCCTGAAGGCATTAGTGTAGAGCCTTCAGTCCATGCAGTGGCTGCTCCTTGGCAGGGAGTGGGTTTTCTTGTCCGAGTCCAGGTGCCAGTGCCTCAGCACCCTCACACCTCAGGGGGTGGAACCTGTGGCCTCCAGTCACTGCTCTAATAAATCCTTTAGCTAAGGATTTTACAGAATGAGTTTATATATTTACTTAATCAAGTTGTTTAGATTAAGATGGTATGGTTTAGGATCAGAACCAGTAAAGGTGAAGAAGTCTTAGCCTTTTAACTGCACTCTTCTCTCTGGCTGGATCATCCTTGTGATGAGCACTTATTTGAGGTGCTCAACCCAAGTCCATGGATATTTGCTCCAGAGTGGCTATGGTAACAATGCAGTGATGTTGGATAGAAATCCCTTCCTGGAGTGACTGTAGGGTGATGCCAAAAGGTAATTTCAGCATCTGGAGCTCTTCCAGGGAGGAGAATGGTGTCACACTGCATTGAGTGTCTCAGCTTGCTGTGCCAGTAACGAGTTGTGTGGGTGCAGAGAGGAAATGTGCAACTGTCTCTGCTCCATGGCTTCCAGAGCTGTGCTCTGCTTTCACTAGCTGTCACAAGCAGGGGATGCTGAGAAGGAGCAATCCCTTGCTGTCACCACCGAGGAGACAGCAGTGCAGCTGGGACAGGGACACCCAAAGTCAGCCAGAAGTAACGTGCCTCTCTCTGTGTTTTTGCCTTCCCTGCAGAGTGCCACTCGTCCTGTGCAGCCTGTGTGGGGAGTTCCTCCCAGGACTGTACGTCGTGCCGTGCTCCCCAGGTGCTGCTGGAAGGCAGGTGCCTCCCCGGGTGCCCCGAGGGGCTGTTCAGCCTCGGAGATCTCTGCTCCCGTGAGTGCCCTGTGCTCGGGGGCAGTGCAGGTGCTGCCAGGTGTATGCAGAGCTGCCTGAGGGTTTTCAGGGGAGAACAGGATAGACCAATTTCAGGAGATGGAATCTCTTCCTAATAGGAGAGAGATGTGCACTTGGAATCATAAATTATAGTCAGTTTTGCTCCTCTGGAGTGTTTCCCTGAAGGTATTTTGTGTTTGGTTTCAGCAGGCTTGGATGCTGTTCCTAGCTAGTGGAATAAAGCCTTTCCTGGACAACACCAAAAAATAAAATGCTTTTATTAGGCAAAGCCTCAAGTTCAGAGAGAAAAACTTCTTTTAAAGTCCATTGCTCTCTCTATTCAATATATTCACCCAAGGAACAGCTCTATAAATACATTTATTTGGCAAGGCATTGTAAAGACTCATCAATTCTGGGGTGATGCACTGCCACCTTGGAGCTGAGGTAACTGCTGAATGCTGCATTCCACACTCTCAGGCTTATGTAAATGTCTCAGCAGCAAAATCTGAGTGTCAGGAAAGTGGCATCTTTCAAGTCTTGTGCTTTTATTCATAAAGAGCTTTAAAAGTAGTTTGTAAGGATCTTTTGCAGATTGTTAGCCACAGTATTTTTATCTCGCTCAGATCTGGGAATCTGGCACCTGTCTTTAAAGGTGGAAGGGTACAAAAACAGCCTGTGAAATATTGTGGAGCACTGTCAGCCACTTTCTCTGACACGTTTTTGTTGAGCTGTTGACAGACAGAATGGCTGATGAGCTGTCATGGCATTGAGGCTTTATAGCTTTCATTCTGGGAGGGCTTTGTGGAGAAATCATTCCTCAGTTTCTCTCTCGTGCATATCCAGCTCATGCCATGGTTGTTCATACAGTCCCAAGAGAAGCTGAATTTATCTCCCCAGTGCATCCCACTCTGTTATGTGCACAAGCACATGCTGGAGGGAGGAATAAACTGGTCAGTCTCTCTCTGTTTTACATTGTGTGTAGATCTATATCTTGATTAATGCAGAGAACAAATCACATCTTTCAAACTGACAACTCATTCCTCACCTTCTTCATTCCAAATGAGGATTTAAGAGCCTTCCAAACCACAACTCTGCTGATGCTGTTAAGCCATTTTAGTCCATGTCTTGTAGGAGTGAATGCTGATGGGAGCTGGTGTTTTGGGGAGGGGAGAGAGGATCTACAACAGGAGCATAACAAGTGTTGGTTTTCTTTGTCCAGCCTGTCACCCATCCTGCAAGACATGCCATGGCCCCTCTGACTGGGAGTGCCTGACCTGCCATCCCCATGCCACTCTGGCTCGTGGCAAGTGCAGGACTAGCTGCAAGGAAGAGCAGTACCTCAACCTGGTGGGATATTGTGTGGGTGAGTAAGAGGAGCTGTTGTGGGATGGTCTGTGTGTGCCACTAAGCACCCACCAACAGCACAGTGCCAGGAAAGCTGCTTGGGGCCTGCTCAGAGCTTCAGGAAAGGGAGGTAAGGAGGCATTTGTGAGTCAGAGAAGCAGTTTCTGGGGCCCTGTAGGAAAACTGGCAGAGCTAGCACTGCTGTGTGTGTTTCTGGGAGGTGACAGGATTGCAGTGTGGGGCTGTGCTGGGTGGGTGCTCAGGGCCTGCACTTAAGCACATCAACTGAAACCACTGATTGCATTTCTCTGTTTGGAAAGAGAAATCACTTCTAATCCCTCACACAGACATGTATAAACATATCCTGGGAACTGCTCCAGCAATTCCTGAGCTTTATCAAGCCATTTTTTTTGCTTTATCAAAGAAAGCTACGGTGTGTGAGGCTTAATCTAGGCTGAACAGTTCCAAATGAGATAAGGAGTCCTAAGAAAAGAGGAAAATGCATTAGAAGTAATAAATATATCCACTGAGAGCTATTGTTCTCAATTTAATAGAGATGATTCCCCTGCACAGAGACTTCTCTCTGTTTACATCTATGTCTTGGGTGGGTTTTTTATGAAAGACTTGTTTCTTTGCTCTCCACAGATTAATTTGGTGAAACATTTCTTCTTCCTTTTAAATGGCAGTGATTGTTTGTCTGCAGAGACAAAGAGAGGGGGAAAAGTGTTTGAGGAGTAGGAAAATACCCTGGAAGTATTATGCATCATTTTAGGAATTCATGTTGAGGAATCAAGGTGTTTGATACAGTCAAATGGTTACAAGGTGGAAATAATTCAGCATTTCAGTGTGAGGAGCTGTCTCTGCCCTGTAAAATTTCAGGGGCTGCAACAGCACTCGTTAATGTCCTGTCACATCATAGCTCTATGCACTTCATTTCTTCCCTGACTTCCCCATTACTTTGCATTATGCTTCCTATGAAAAAAAAGGCCCGTGGAAATGTGTTTTTCCAGCTGTAAATTCCATTGGAAAGCTTAGTACCATTTGTCATAAACCAGGATTCTTTCTGGGGAGGGTTTGCTCCTTGCTTGCTGCATGCTGTGTGTTTAGTTGTCCCCTTTGGGCTGCTGCTGCCTCTAAGTTTGGAGAGGTGGCATGGAGCAATAAGCCTGCTCCCAGATCCCAGGGAATCTGGAAAGTGTCACAGTGCCTGGCAGGAACTGGGAGCAGTGGGCACTGTGTGGGGCAAGGTTTGACTTTGCTCACAGTGTTCAGTCCTCTGCAGAGAGCCTTGCCTGGTGTTCCAGGCTCCACACTTTGACCCTGGTGCTGCATCCCTTCCCTGTGAGCCAGCAGACTTTACACTGAAGCCCTGTGGGTCATGAAGCTGGTCCACTGTTTGGAGATTTGGCCTCTCAAAGCAGAAACATGTTTTCAAGGCTTGGCTCACAGTGCCTGGCATCGCTGAGTGTGGATACTGAGTGGGTTGGATCTGTGTCCTCAAAGCAGGAGGGAAAGCTTTCCAGGTGCACCAGTGTTTGCTGGTCCAACTGAAGCTGAGAAAACCCTTGAGGATGAGTTTACTGGTGTTTTTTTGCCTCGACAGAGAAGCTGTGCTTTGGTCTTGGATCTGCAGTCTGAAGAATGTTGCTCTTGGTGCCAAATTTCTGTCTGGTATTTTGTGTTGCCTGTTCTGCTGGAGATAAAGGGCTCCACACACATTCAGGTTGTTAAGTTTCACTCACTCTCCTCATCCAGCACTGATGGAAATGCTAAGTTTGCCCTTGCAAATTATTAATTACCAGTTAAAGAGCAGCTGTCCCATAAAAGGGAACATTAAAACCTCTGACACTCTCATAGATATGATTTGCATCAGAATCTTAACAGAGCTTTTTCCTTTGCCTCCCAAAGCAATATATTGTTACAATTATCTTCCCATTTATCTCTAATTCCCAACCCTTCAGGCAGAATTGTGTTACAGTTTACAGGGGCTGTGGTGCCTTATAGCCACCTGCCATACTTTATGGACCTGGGGGGGAAATCTTTCACACAGGCTGGAGAAATCCAACTGTCACTGGAAACTATTGCCTGGGAATTAATGGTCTTACTGTACATGTTACCTGAACGAGGATTGGAACATTTGCCTTGTTAATAGGAGAAAAAAAGACCTTGTTTTCAGCAGTTAATCAAATAAGCATTTCGGGTGTAAGCAGAAGAAAGACAGAATGTCCTCAAGTTCCAAACGATCAATGGGTTTCTGAGCTCCATTCTGGGCACACAGAGTTTGTGCCAATCTTCTCTGAGAATGCTCAATTGATTAGTTGTGGTTTATAGCTCAGGTGTGTGTGCAGGAACGTGTTTGAGGCTTTAGCCATCCCCTGCTGAGTCTCACAGCACCTGTGGGTTTTGCTTTCCCAGCTGGAAAACGCTCTGTGATTTCCCTCTGCCTCTAACCCAAGTGAACTTCAGCTTCAGGAAACATTGCAGTCACCAGTGGGACAGCACCAGTGCTAAAGTTAGTGTCCTGCCCATAAACCTCTGCCCTTGCTTTTCTGCTCTGAATCAGTCAGAGGCTTCTCTTGAGGTTTCCAGGTTCATCTCAAAGCTCCCCCATTGGTCTTGCCCTGACTCATGGAAGGGCAACCAGAAACGTGCTGGGGGACTGGTGTGAAAGGAAACTCAAACCACCCACAGATAAAGTATCCCCGAGGTCCTGTCTTAACTTCAGCTGCATCTTCCTTGCAAGGGAACTCCCCGTGCTGCTTTCTGAGTCTGTGTGCTGTGGGAACAAGTTCAAAGCTAACCCAGAAGAGCTGGCTCAAAGGCTGCCTGCAACAAGCCTTGCTGCCTTGCTCTCAAAATTCCAGAAGGGACACTCTGACAACAAGAAATAGCTTCAGTTCCTTGTAAAATTAATGAGCTGTTGCTGTCCTTTTAGAGAGACATTGATACCATCACAGAGAGCTGGAGTTTGGCTGAGCTGAGCAAGAGGCAAACTGGGGCTTCTCTCCACTTAGTCACTGCCTCCTACAGAAATTAGCAGCTGAGCTGCTGGAGGAGGAAAAGGGAAGTTCATTTCCCTAGGCTGGTCTGGGCTGCTTTGTGCCAGGCACCATCCAGCTGGATTTCCCACCTAGAGAAGCTCCCAGCCTTTCCCAAGGAGCAGGCAGATCCCTGCAAACGTGGTTGCACTTCATCACCTGGCATTTTTGGATGGCAGATTCCCTTTCATGGCTTGGAAAGGAGAGACAAAACTCCTTCCAACAACCAAATCAACCCTGGTCAGTGCTGGGTGTCCTTCCGAGCCAGCCCTGCTGATTTTCCTTCTGGATTTGCTGGGAGGTACCAGGGCCTTTTTGCCTGACATGACTGTAAAGCGTGTGGTGTTTTCAGTTATGCTGTTGTGAACCTCAGGACTCAGAGTACAGCACAAACCTTTGCATCAGGAAATACTTTCGGAAG